TTATTCACCCCAAAACCCCAAAACCCCTCTAGTTAAACATAGTAATAAAGCGTGACATTCGATATTTATTTCATTAGCAAAAACTTAATAAAATTAACTTGAAAATATTGATTTAGTTAGAGGATAACTTAAAAAAATAGAATATGATAGAATTAGGCAAAACACTTAAAGAGTATCACAATAGCAAGATAAAAATCAATTTTATACCGGAAAAATACAAAAAAGCATATGATGAATTTAGTCAAAAGGAATTCATAAAGATGATTGGCCCTTATTCTAAAATGATAAAAATAACATCATTTCTTGCCTTTCTAATAAGGATCTACATGTATATTAATGGGTTTTAAGATTTCCAGACATTGATACCATCTCTGCTCATTTTGCTGTAATATATATTTGTGAGAATCCTTGTGCAAGATAATGATACTTAGACAAAACTTTTAATGAGTGTGATGCAGCCACTACTAGCATTTACTACAGCATATCGAATAGCATTGTTAACTCCTTAAGAACTGTCCCTTAACCCTGTTCTATCGATATATCTATTTCAGCTTCTTTATTATCTATAATACTTAGATTAGCCATGGGAAATTAAAACAATTATGTTTTCAGGAATTTATTTAATCACATGGATAACTTTCGCTTACAAATCAGTTATGGTATATAACTTTGACATGATGATTTATTACTTGTTTACGTCACTAATTGTGGCAATATTGTTATGAAATAAAGAGATAAATGATTAAAAAAATTTTATGACTATAATCAAAGTTAAATCTCTATAGGATAAACTTTAGAAGACTTTTTAGTCTATGCAAGATGGAGTCTTGATAATTAAGAGAGAAACTCAATCATAGCAGATTGTCTACGTAAATTAACAGTTAATGAGGATGATTAAGTTTGAAGGCGAGGGATAGATATATTTATAAAAGATCAGTAATTCAATGATTGATAATATTTGTCTATTCAATCAATCTAGAACAATAGATTTAAAGCTAAAACATTTGTTCAAGAATATTAAATGCTATGATTAATTTACTCTAGAAAATAAAACATCTAGGAAATTTTAGTCATTTATAGATGATCTAAGAGAAGAATGCAATAATGAAAATTTCAATAAAAGACATTATTTGAAGCTAATACCTCTAAATATTTCCCTAGAGATAAATGTGAGTTTGCTTAAGGACGAAAAGTAAATAATGATAGTCTTCAAGGAGATTTCAAATTATAAAAAATTGCAAAAATCAAAGACCAAGGAATAATTTACTAATATTCTAGTGAACTCTACAGCTCACAATATATCTACACCTATTAACAGCATTAAGGGCTTTACAGAGCTACTAGAGCTAGACCAGTCTGTCATGCATTCCTTATCTTCCAAAGAGCATATTAGATTAATTAAGCTATGCTTGAAAATTCTCATCTTTAACACCAAGAACTTAATGGAGCATTCAGTGATAAGACTTAAGCAATTTAAAAGAAATCAGAATACCATCAACCTCAGTACTGCTTTTAAGGACATTTTAGAGATATTCAAAATATAGTCAGAATAAAAAGGCCTACTATTTTTGAAATTCTTTGATACCACTGTAAAGGATAGACTAGTTAGAATAGATTAGTCGAGACTTGAATTAGTATTGTTCAATCTATTGTAAAATGCGATATAATATACATTTAAGGGTTCGATCAAGATAAAAATGAAGATTCTAAATAAGGATGTTTTGATCACTAAATTCGACAACATATTCTACAGTTCTTCATCATATATCAGAACAGATTTTTAGGATAAAAAGGAATAGGGAATCCAAAATGAAGAAGACCTTAAGTAATTGAATGCAAATATTATAAGAACAGAGGTACTTGATTCTTTCTCTACTGACCAATAATTCTTGAGTATAAGCATCACTGACTCAGGTAAAGGAATGAGTATTAATGAAATAAATTAGGTGTTTAGCTTGTTCTCCCTAGGCAAAATATCACAAGATCAAATTAACTAATAAGGAATGGGACTAGGGCTTACTGTCTCTCAAATGATTTGTGAGTAGTATGGCGGAAAAATCTTTATTGAGAAGACAGAAATAGAATAAGGAACAAAGATATCATTGATAATACCGATAGAGTTAGTTGAAGCTGATGATATCCATGCCTTAATTACAAGCAGAACATAATTTTTCGATTCAAAAACTCAAGAGACATCTAACTTTGATCATCCTAGTGTTACAGATAGATTAGGCTAAAGATTCAAAAGAGAATATATAGGCAACTATGAACCTATGAAGACTTTAGTCTTTGATTAATTACCCAATCCTTCTCGCTCAGCATCTCTTATTCTTCACTAAAATCAAATAGAGTGCAGGAGATAGAATAACTAAAAGATTCTTATAGTGGATGACACTCCATTTAATGTCTAGGTCTTAGAAATGATTTTAAAATAGATATTTGACATCAAATGTGATGTAGCATATAGTGGAAATGAAGCCATTGAAATTGTAATGAAAAGATTAAATGTTGATGCTTAAGATTAATATCAGCTGATTATAATGGATATCAACATGCCAGGACTCGATGGAGTTGAAACAACAAGAAAAATTAAAGATATTCTTAAGAATAATCAAATTTCAAAGATTTATGCTCATACTGCCATTAATCTTGAATAATTTGGCTCCTATGCTGAAAAAGGATTTGATGGATTTATTGCTAAACCAATTGAAGTTAACTATCTCTCATAAGTTTTAAGCTAGATCAAATTGATATGAAAAGCAATATGATAAAAGAGCTTTTGACTTAATATTCATAGTGTCATGGTCATTAAGAATGCTTAAAAGGTGATTTATTTATTCTTCAAGTAATTTTTATTAATTCAACTAAAATTATTCAATGATTTTGCTTCAAGGGGTTTTGGGGTTTTGGGG